TTTATTTATTACATATAAAAGTATAATCAATAATTCATATGAGAAAACTATAAAAGTGAATCGTAATTTATTATTTTTTAATCAATTAAATCCAATCAAATAATCAAACTATAATCATGATTAAATTCAATCATAATTATAATAAATCATATTTATCAATTTTATAATTAAGAATATAAATTAGAATTCTCAATTTTATAAGAGTAAAACTGTAAATATGGTGACAAGACATATATTAGAATTATGAAATTTATAAAGGGCAAAATTATAATTTGATAAAACCCTAGCCTTGAGGTCAAAATTATAAATATATCAAAACCTAGCTTGCCATTTGCGTCGTCGTCGCTTGCACATGCGATGCTATCGTTGCCCACACGCAACTGCTGCCACCGCGGGGCTACCTCTGCCTGCGCGCGGTCACTACAATTGTTCCTGCTCTCACGTGGCCATCGCCTGGGTGTGGTTGCCCTGCCCGCGTGCGACCGCCGCTTGTGCGCAGCACCTGCCCGTGTGTGGCCGCCGCCTTGATGCGACCTACTGCCCTCATGCGGTCGTCGCATGAACACGGGTTCTGCTCGCGTGCGGCCGCTGCATGGGTGTGGTGCTGCCTGCGTGTGACCGCCACATGGGCACGGTGTTGCCGCCTGCTGTGCTGCGGTGCGCACGTTGCCCAGCGCAGCCTATGTCGCTGTAGATTCATTGGTTGTACGCAGCAAAGTCAACGATGACCATTGCTGCTTCGCGATCATTGGAGAATAGGGATCATTCATGCATCATAAACAAAAATAATTGATCTAATATGGTTGATTTCAAGAATAGGCTCTGATATCAATTGTTAGCATAAAAATCTGTAATATGCTGTATTAAATGCGGAAACAATCTTTTATTTTAGGATTGAAATCAAATATAATTAGATCTAGTTTTACGATGCTTACCTTTTGATGCCATCTAAAAAAGATATCTTTGTTTTGATCTGCAAGGGCGTCGTCTTTAGATCTAAGTTTACTGTCAATCTACAAGAAAACTAGATCCTTCTCATCTCTTCAAGATCACCAGCTTGACGGTTAGGGAGAAGAGTTGAGAGAGAAACTGTAATCTCTCAACTAAATCCCCAATGATATGCGTAATCTCTCTTCTTGTACAATCCCTAGAGGTTATATCTATTTATATGTGAGAGCAAGGGTCTAGGATAAGTAATTATGAGAGTTCCTCCTATCAAGGTTATCTCCTAAGGAATCATACTTTAATAAACTGCTTTTCTATTGACCAATATATGTCATCGGAATCTAATTAGTTATATTATATATCTTATTCAATTACAAAGGGCTATAAAATCTATCACAAAACACCATTTAATCAGTTTAAAAAGGAACAACACATATTGGAACAAAGATATGAGTGCTTCAAACGAGTAGTGAGAGTAACAAACATTAGTGTGTTCTTGAGAACAAGTAATAAGTCCATGCCTTTGAAGAAGGAAAAATTTTGAAGTATTCTAATTCAAAAAGAGAAAAGATCGAATAAGCCATCTCCTTGAGCATTAGAGTAAAAGCCAACCGGAAACCATTTGTCGCAACAAGAAACATTGCTACTAATTAGCTCTTCATGATCCATTGGGTGGGAGACTCAACACATCGCTATTAATTCTGTGGTCCTGCCCTTTCAAGGTTATTAATGTCTCCATGTTGATCTAGTTTTCCACTGTTTTTAATCTTTTGCATTTAATTCTTCATCTGTTTCTTGTGGCCATAAATTACAGCAAGCCAATCTTCTTGATCTGTAAAGTTCACGATTGATCGACATCACTCTGTGTGGTTGTCTCCGTGAGGCCAGAGTATTGTTGCATCTAAACAGAAAGATTGATGTAAACGTAGGCTCCTCAGGTAGATTCATAAATATAGATGTAGAGCATGTTTACTTGCGAAAACCATAATTTTGGAGTAACATATCAAAAATGGTAATTGGATATTAAGGATTAATGCCATGTGCATATACATGTATATTTGCATGCTCATCTCATCCTTGTTAGGATTCAGAGTTTTGTCTCTACAAATTTCATTGACTAAGTTTCTGAAGCTTCCTGCACATCTTCTCTGTTCATAAGTTTTTATCTTCTATTTGCTTGTTAATGTGCATAAATAAGTTGGAAAAAGTAATTGCTGTTGTGGTTTTCTTATTTTTGTGTTGTCTTAATCATCTTCAGAAAGCCAATTACATGAATATTTCCACTGATTGGTTGCGCAATCAAATGTTGTGCAAGTGGACCTCCACATGTTCCCAGTCACTAGATCCAGAAAATGCACCTTGGTTTAAGAAGAAAAAGGCATTAGAATTGAGAGAGCATATGAAAAAAGAAATTATAAAGTCAATTTTCATCTCCGATGACCTCAATTGAACTAGCTCTTGATATCAGAATCGAGAGTCAGTCATACATCGAATGCCAGAGATTTTAAACAATGAAGCTTATATCCATAGATTCTAGCATGAAGCAGTAATTGTCTATGAGAAGAGATCTAATATGGTGCCTCCTGTATGGAAGTCTTTGTTCAGCCAGTGCAGAGTCAGTGGTCATCAAGAAACACATGGGCTGTAGAGAATCTGGAGAACACAGGTAAAAGATTATGCCAGTTTTGCCAGTCATCATAGCATAGCCTTGAAAGCCAGCTACAATTCATCAATAAGATCTAGTGAAACTGGCATCCTGACATGTTTCCAGCTTCTGGATGCAGAAAATGTACTTTGGTGTAAGACGAAAAAGCAATAGAATTGAATGCAAAGGTCATCGAGGAAAAACATGTCTGTAGAGAAACTAAAGAATGACAACCATGAATTATGTCAGTTTCCCCAGTCATCTTATCATAATATTGGCAGCAGCCTTAGACAATTCATATATATATATATATCATCATCAGTAACATCAACAGACTGTTTGACTACACACAAGTGATTACATGCACAAGTTGCTTTTTATTTTCTTAACATATACATATTTTTTTTTTTGCCAACTTATTTACTGTCTTCTGTTGATAGAGGTTAGAGCATGAGAAAGCCAGGATTCAGAAGGGGATGTGAGCTGAGGCAGCCTCCAAATAGCTCTTCTACCGTCGGGAACAGCTTCGTTTCTCTTGTTCTGGTCTCTTTGACAGCCACCAAAGCCCATTCTCGTCGCTTTATCTTTCCACCTTTGGATGTCCCTCCCTCTGGTTCTCAGTCTACTCGTATCAAGAAATGGTAATCCCCATCCATGGGAGTGGCTCACCTTTGTGCTCAGCTTATCCGCAAAGCCACCACCATTTTCCTCTGCATCGGAACTCCAGCCGTCGCTACTACAAATGATTCTCTTCGGAGGAGATGCAAGATCAGGCCTGGGTGTTCTGTTTCGAGCCGGGCTGATCATAAATCCACAAACTGTGGGGTTGAAGCTATCTGAACTTCGGCCGTTGATGCAGCGGTCGACGACCGTGTTTGGAGAAGATGTAAGATGGGGCCTGGGTGTTCGATGCTGAGCCGGGCTCTTGAAACCCCAAACTGTGGGCTTGAAGCTCCAAGGAAAGAAGAGCAGCAAGCCGCAAGCCATCGAAGGCAAGTCTCTCCCGTTCTCCTCGTGTGGATCAAATGGTGCTTGGAGCCTGCGAGTGGAAGCTCCGCGTTTAGTTCTAGCCTTGATGAACTCCTTTTGCAGGTGAATAGCGGAAGAAGGAACGGCTCTCTGGCTGAAATGCACATCATTGCGGAGCGAAGAGTTGGCTAATGCAGTAGCTGCAGGAAGAAAGCGGTTCATGATGAAACTGGGAGATCGATGAACACTTCTCCTCTCGATGTCGCTGGATGCCAAGTCATTGAAAGAACTAAGTCTACAGGCAATGTCGAGCTTCCCCGACAACGAGATCTTGTCTAGTGCATCCGAGAAAACATCGTCGTCGTCGTCGTCATCGCTCGAGCTACGAACGTCGGCTTCGTGGTCGTTTAGGTTTCGGGCTAAGGCGTTTGCATGATTGTCTTCTCCGGAGGGACACAGCTTGGGAGGCAAAGGCAGGGGTTCGACGTCGAACTCATCGAGGTGAAGCCTCGTGGCCCGCGAAAGCTTGGGCACACCAGGGGAGCTCTCCCATGAGAAAGGAACCCTCTGGCTTGCGAGGTCGTTGGAAGGAACCCGCCGCCTCGTCGAGCTGGAACGATCGACGCTGTTGGTGCTGGTCGAACTGGAGGAGCGCCGCGTCGAGACGAGAGGAGCGTGCAGAACCAACTGGCCGAGAAGCCGCTCATTGGAGCTGGGTTCCTCCATGTACAAGAAGGATAAGGAGAAGGCGGCTTCGAGTGAATTGGTATGGCTGAGGCAGTGCATGTCGGCAGGATATATTCGAGGCAGAAGCGTGGGGTTGGTGGTTAATTGAAGGTAACCACAAGAGCAATGGTTGGGGGGAGCAAAGCCATGTAGGGTTCCCGTGAGGGAATTGAAAGCCGGGCAACGAAAAGAAGAAGGCCGTTAGGAAGAAATAGCATAAAGAAAGGAGACAGCAAGCTTCACTAGCGGCTGTTGCTGTGTCAAATGAATTCACTTCGATCGCTTTCCGTCCGTTGCTCGATCGCCTGGAAGCCCTGCCCTTTGATTCTCTGCACACCGAAAGCCAAAGTTTTATTACCAGTACTGTACAGTACAGTCGAGAGATTGTTACTCCAAATTTTGACTACTTACAAGGGGCTCCATTCCTCCTCCAAACGCTCCATCCATAGATATATATTGGAAAGTGGTGACCGATGACGGTGATAAAATAGATAATTAGTATTTCCTGTCATAGATTTGCTTTATGGAAGATAATATACCATGATGTAGATATTCTATCATTAATGTTTCTTGTCCAATCAGCATCGACAAAGATATGAAGATGAAGTGACAGGTGTTTATGGAGAAGAACTCCATAATTTATAGTCCATTTGAAATATTGCAGAACTTGTTTTACTATAAACCAATGAGTAGTGGAGGGCAGATACAAGAATTGTGATAATTTGTTAATTGTAAATGAGATGTCTAGACGTATAAGATATAAGTATTGTAAGGAGTCAAGTACTTCTCGGTATTGTGGGAGATTCGTATGTTAGTTACAGGTGCCCTACAAGTTAATCACATTATGATAACACATGTGATACTTTGCACGATTTTTTTGATTATTATTATTATTATTATAGTATTTTATCACTTTATATTGATGATGAATATATTGCAATGCTCTTATTTTATCACTTTATCTGTGCAATAGGAATTAAATTATTATGAAATCATTATAATGAGATAAATTCATTTTTAAACACAGACCCTAGATATTTATTTTCATTTATATGTTACTCGAGAGGGACATCGAGATAACTGGATAGACCGGTGTGTTATATATACGTTCATGTAATGGATGTAGCTGGTCTCATAGCTACTTGTGTGAGGACATTAGGAATATAGTGCAGGTGCTCATTGAAGAATGAGTTCACTAAATCCGCTTATGGAATGTCAGTTAATTAATGATACCTTATCGTCATACAATAATTTTGTAGTCCTAGTTGTGTGTCTGGTCCTTAGACTTGAGATACCGAGGATACCCTATATGAATACTCCACTCTTTGATACTGGACTTATAGGTTTGGATGTTCCAAATCTAACACAATCGGTCATCGAGAGTGGTAGTCGACTTTACGAGGGCAATTGAGTGTCAATAGAAGATCATCCACTATTGGTATCATGAGAGTAATATCTCATGTGCTCTCACCCAGGCAAATCCCTAGCCAAAGTCAATCGGATCGTGATGAATCCGATAAATGTGAGATTCGATTGAGAGAGAAGGAGTTCTCCGAGAGAATATGATTAAAGTAAGACTCAAATAGATTTCGTATGGGCCTGATAGTACCATGCCCAATATACGATATCTGAGATATTAGATAGATGAGGGATTATAGATACATGGTAACTGAGGGCAAACAAATTCAATGGATTAGATCCCTCTGTATCTTATGGGGGCTATGGCGTAGTGGTATAGTACATCCGTAGTCGATGAGTTGAGTGAATTATTATGGGAATAATAATTTACTTAGTCAGAAAGAGTTTTGACATGTGTAACTCACGGCTAACTCGGTATTGGGCATAGAGGGTCACACACATATGGTGGACAACACGACGAATAGAGGATCAGATATAAGATATCTGATAAGCTCATGTTTTAATATATTCTTAGAGAGACCCAATAAAGCTTACGATGGTTATTGAATAGAGATCTAATATCCATTAAGACAAGGGGTATTAGATGGAGATCCAAATCCCAAAAGAATGATCCATTATGGTTAATTAAAGGAGGCTCTCTATAAATATGAGTTGGGACTAAAAAGAATTATAGGCTAGACCTCTACTATCGCCACCTCCTTCATCTACTCTCTGCCCTTTCCTCCAACTGACTACTCCATCTCTAGTGTGAGAGGACTGCAAGGGAGATCGATCCCTCCTTGGTTATTGCAGTTTGGTGGTGCGCGAATGCAAGTAAAGAACATACTACGCGAGGAAGTGCATCGTCGTTACATCCACTATGTGGATCACCACTAGAGAGGAATTTGTGAGAACTCTATCCACAGATTGAGATTTATAGATTATGGGATATACGATCTCTCCTATATGAGAATGTCTAAACTACTATATGTAGTTACGTGGTTTTTGTCGTTTTCGAGTTTTACGCTCTCAATCTTCATATGATGATTCGATAAATATACTTTTGGAAAACCAGTTTTTACTTTTATTTTTCGTTATGAATGTGATACTCTATGTAGTTTTCCAACAGTGGTATCAGAGCTAGGTTGCTAGTGTAAAGATCGATTATTAACTGCATCTTGTGTTGAATAATGTAGAATTAGTTTTCGCGTAAAGTAATTACGTTTGTTACCGATCATATATTTGAACTACATTTGTTCGGGTACTTTAAAAATTTTGTTGGCCATTGGTTTGTCATCAAAACAATTGATAGAAAATTGGGGGAAAAGGGCAACGATTATTGCAGCCCTGTAGCATTGGTAGAAAGCTGCTTGCAACCTTGGCCGAGCACAGCTTGACGGCTAGGGTTTCTTGGCCGCTTGGGATACCCTGTAGTATGAATATTGTATGTTCGAAAATCTGGGGCCACTATGCCGTAATTCCTAAACGATAAGGGGAATCCAATCCATTGGACCTGTTTGTCCTCTGTTTTCGTGTATCTATAACCTTTTATCTATCTAATATCTCATAGACCGTATACTGGGTATGGGGTTGTTAAGCTCATACAGTTTCTACTCAAGTCTCACTCTAATCAGATTCTCCTAGAGAACTCTTTCTCTCTCAATCTGAATGACCTTAGTCATGGATTTGTTTGAGCAAAAACACATAGGATATTCGTCTCATGACATTGAGAGCAGATGATCCTCTGTTGACACTCAATAGCCCTCGTAAGATTAGCTGTCACTACCGATGACCGGCTGTGTTAGATTAGGAACTTTTAGACCTATAAATTCGGTATCAAAGAGTGGAGTACTTATATATGACATCCTCGGTGTCTCAAGTCTAAGGACCATATACACTATTGAGACGACAGAATCACTATTTGACAATATGATATCATCAACTATCCAGTATTCCATAAGCAGATCAATTAGTGAAATCATTCTCCAATGAGCACCTGTATTGTATCCTTAATGTCCTCACACAAGCAACTATTAGACTAGTCACCTCCATGATATGTACAGGTATACATTACCCCAGTCTGTCCGATTTTCTCGATATCCCTTTGACCGAGATTATTAAGCTTTGTGTTTAAAGGCGAATCGGTCTCTCTCTCTCGATCTCTCCACGCTTTGATTCTCACAGCATAGATCCACTGACAATCATATATATATATATATATATATATATATATATATATATATATATATATATATATATATATATATATATATATATATATATGTGTGTGTGTGTGTGTGTATATATGTGTATGTGTATATGTATGTATATATATATATATGTGTATATATATATATGTGTGTATATATATATATATATGTGTATATATATATATATATATGTGTGTGTATATATATATATATA